CTCAACTGCCACCGGCGTACCTGGCGAATCTCTCCGAAGAAACAAGTAAGACAAAAGCCAAACACAAATAGCCAAGTCCGAAATACACTAACTCCAACTGGAGCTGGACAGTCAATATACTATACCCAAAGGCAGGCAGTAGATCAGCCGTACTCGTTCACGTAGCTGATCTACCTCTGGGCTAGTGTAGCTACAGCCATGTTCGATAATCACAATTGTTTGCAGCGAGCCTGCACAACTCAACGCATTCCGGCGTCTGCTTTGTTGCTGTTGCTGCTGTCGTCGATGTTGCCGTTGCTGTTGCTGTTGCTGCTGTTAGCTGGGCACAGGAAACATTGGAAAATTGAGCATGGAAATGAACGCAAAAAAAGCACATACAAAACCAAAAATAAGAGAAAAAGAAGGCTCTACACAGAGCGAAAAAAATCGCTAGCCAAATGGCAACGGAAAACCTCTTCATTCAAGTCGTCTGTCTCCGTCTCCTGCTCCAACTCTGACTGCAGCACCGCCTCTGCCTTCGTCTTTGTGGCTGTCTCATTTCGTATGCGCGAGGCGTTTGCCTGAGAGGGTACATTCCAAGGCTCAGGCCTGGGCCGGCGTTGAGAGTCTGAGGCAGCTCAAACGCCAGCTCTGGCGATTTGTTGCTGCTTCAAGTGGAGCAATTATTGCAACTGCAACAGCAGCAGCAGCGGCAGCAACAGTCGCCGTTGAAAGTTTTTGGCATTCGGTGTGTGGGGTAATGCATCATCACATGGGGGCACGCCTGGCCTGCCTGTCCTGTCCTGTCCTAGCCCGGCGAACATTCACATTGGCACCGCATTCAAATCGATTTGGTACGCATCTTCCTGCAACATGTTGCGGAAACAGCAACAGCAACAGCAACAGCCACAGCCAGAGCAATACAAGCAACAGCGCGCCAAATTGATTTGTTGCTGCTTTAGTGTTAATTGCCAGACCACGACTAGACCGGGACAAAGCTACAGCCAGAGTCTGAGCAAGAGCCAGAGTCAGAGATAGAGCCACAGCCAGTAGAAGGAGGAGGCGTCATCAACATGGTCGTGTGGACATGAACTAACTGTAACTGCATGCAGTGGCTCAGGTGGTTGCTGCTGTCGTGAATGTGGGGCACTAGAGTTACGAGTGGGCGTTTCACAAAGACACACACACACATACACATACACACATGTTTGCTTGGCTTAGGAGGCAAAAGGGGGCAACTAGATTGCAATTATGAAGTACGTGTTCGAATGCGTCGAAAGCTCACAAATTTCTAATGATGATATATTGCAGCTGGCGCTGGCTACATAGCCAAGGACTATCAAATTAACAAGATCGTCGCTTCCGGCGTACAATTGCTGGCAACGGCCACGGCAACAGGCCAGAAGCTCCAGCGAAGCGAGTACAGAATTCAATTGACTTGCGCATTAATCTTGGCGCTAGACTCTAGGCCCGTTGCTGCCTGCCTCTTGTTCGGTTTCCCACAGCAGCAGCATGCGAAATTTATGCCAAGCGGCGACGGGCGGACGGGCGGACGGACGGGCGACGAGTGCAGATTTCACGTCAAAACTCATGGGTGTACAAATGCATCATTCTGATGGTCATCATCAGTCTCTGCCTATCAAACAATCGACAAAACAAACAGCAGCAGCAGCAGCAACAGCGGCAGCTGAGGCGGCGACGGCAGCAACATGTTGCCGCGACATTGCTCGTTGGCGTTGGCAACAATTACCCAGAGCTGGACCCAAGTCCAGGCCCTGAATGTTTTTCTCTATGCGACAGTTTTGTTTGCTCGCCCATGTGTATGTGTGTGTTTGTGTGTGTGTGTGTGTGTGATTGCTGACTGCTACAAATTTCAACGTCGCACAAAAAGTCAGCCACGACAGCAATCTGCACTTGAAAATCTAACAGCAGCAACAGCAGCAGCAACAAACACCAAGCACAAGGAACTGGCTGCCACCGCGTGGCAACCTGTTTCAGCACTTGACCATGCACCATGCCAACATGTTGCCGAATTGACAATTTCGTTGCGCATGCGCAGGCAACAGTTGCTGCTGCTGCCGCTGCTGTTGCTGCTGCTGCTGTTGTCAATTGTCAGTTGGCGCAGTTTTGCAACCACGTTGCCTGCTTTATGCAAATTGCAGCAGTCAAAGCGCTTCTATGGCCATGACCACTGCCCCAGCCCCAGTCGCAGCTCCAGCTTCAGCTCGAGCTCGAGTTCGAGTTCCAGTGGGCGTTTGATTTCAATCGCCAACATTTTCACATATCCATGGCCATATGTTGCTGGTGTCGACACAACGGGCACTCGTCCTGCAGCAGCAGCAGCGGTTTATGTTGCCTCTTTTCTAGTTTTCTTTCTATTATTTCTTTAACGGTTTGCCATTTCGATTTTATGTTTAGTTATATTTCAGCTCTGGCTCGTTATTTTTCATTGGCTCTGGCTCATATTTGGCCTCTTGATCTCACTTGAATGCCATGCCGAGTGCCCAATCTCGCCTCGACATTATTAATAATCATTTTTCACTGCACGTCCCATTTTCGGGTGTTGATCTGTGCCTACGCACACAATTTGTACGACCCAGCCCCAGACGATCGCCAAGTGTTGATATACATCCACACATACATGCAGCGCCCCCTCCAGCTACTGCATGGCATTTGGACCCCGCCTCGACGCGTCGGTGGCCTATCGACTCTATCGGCATTTGTTCGCTTATCATGTAATTTGATCTTAATGCGCATCGTGTTTATTTATTCTACCCGAAAAAAAAAATAAATAAAAAGAATTAATCCTCCACACTTGTATTGCGCAAGGGGATCGCGGGTGCAGCTCGCGCTATATTCAATCGATTTATTGTGAGGTTGTTAGCTGTCAAGTGGATGGCATTAGGCATCGGCCAGCCATGTCAGCGCTGTGACATTCCAAATTGGGCATGGAAGATTTCGGTATGTATGTGCGTGAGCGTTGCCCTACGCCTACCCACGGACAGTTGCACGATCGTTAGGATCTGAGCTAATCAACGCGACCACAGGAGAGTTGACAGTGAGATAAATGATATGGAGACTCATTTCTAATTGCAGTCGAGATCCTTGAGCAGATTTCACATTAACCTAGATCGCAGAAGATTCTGGCAATATTATATATATTAAGGGCATTTCACTTACTCAGAATGCCTGGACAATTCGCTTACATAACTTTACTATTCTCATTCGATATGTGTCGAGCCCTTTCATGCAACTGATATGCTCAGCTGCAGCTCATAAATATGCATTTCAAGTGCAATCCGAACTGCTGGCACATGGACTCCGCCAACGTTGCGTCGTCGAGGTTGCATTCAAATGCGTTGCACGTCGTTGGGGTCGTTAAAAATCGAACACGCACTCAATCGAACAATCGAACTATCGAGTCACATTGATCTATGGGCAGTCGCAACGGAACGGAATGGGGCGGGACGGGGCTGGACGGGACTGGTGAAGTGAACTGCTTGGGCGTACAATATGATTTACGATTGAGCCATGAGGAATGTCACGATTTAATGGGCTTATCGAAGCTGCCTTCTCAGCCCCGATCGCCCGTTTCCAATTCCTGCGTTGGCTGCACTGCGTGCGGTCTAATTATTTTATTACGAACTTGTCGCTGCAACGGGCAATGGGATATGGGCGATGGGATATGGGATATGGGCCATGGAATGGGATGGGATGCGTTGGGGTGTGGCCAATAATTTTCTAATTAAAATTTGAAGCTCGACTCAGCATTAAAAATCAGTCGCGCTGCGTAAAGAGTGTTTTGATTTATTGCATAAATATAAATATAAATAAACATATATATAAATACAAATGTGTGGCGGCGGTGCCCCACCTGGCAACAGGGGGTCTGCTCGGCTGCAACGCTCCACCTGTCTAACACTTGCATTTTAACGATTCACTGCATGCCCCCAGCTGCAGCTAGGGCCGAAGGTGCGACCCGGCCGCAGTGCCACAAACTTTACGGCCAGCTTGAAGGGCGAACGAAAATGATTTCCACTTTGATTTGGAGTCCCTGATTTATTTGAGCCAATGTTGGCAAAGCGCAGGCGCTTGCCACATAAATTTCCACCAACTGCCCCAACGATATGAACTGTAAAAACTCACCATAATTTTTAATTGTACAAATTTATGGCCAAGCCGAGACTCGAACTGCCAGCTGCAGCTGATGATGCACTGCCTCGTCCCGTTGCTCGTTGCTCGGTGCTCGTTGATGGCGTTAGCGGTTCTTTTGTCCCCAGCTTTATCTGGTTGACCAGTTTACAGCCGATTTATGGTCGATGACCACTGCAGATAGCTTGATGGCGAAGTTCCCAGGGCGGCGCTATTAAAATCAAATAAAATCAATGTTTTTCCCATTTTTAAACTCGGCCTATTAATGAATAGTCCAGCATCATAAATCAGTAATCTATATGGGCTACGCACAGCCCACGCCCTCCACCTGGGGCCCCAGTTTTCATTTTATTTTGTGACATTGTTCGAGTCTACATCAAAACTTCGTTGTAATGATGCATTTATAAAAATATAAATATGTTTGCTTTTTATGCTCACAGCGCGATATTTACATTCATTTTACTGCGAGCTGGACAAAAAAAATCAGCATGAGAATACAAAATGATTTCTGAGCTCGTTTGTGGTCCATTTATGGCGTACTTAAAAGAAAAACTCATAAGTTTTCATATGATTGAATTCTTATTTCCGTGGACAACTAAAAGAACAGCTGTTACAGCTTGTCAAATTGTTCAGCCACAATCTTCTCGTCTGGCTGCTGCTAATTAAGTTAAGATAACATTTCTGTCCTATCTGTTCCACTTCAAGTGAAGCTCTCAGCTAATTGTTTCGCAGCTTTACTGAGCGTATATAAACAACTCTTGAGCTATTAACCGATTCATTTCCGCAGTTCACTTGCAAAATGAGACCTGGTAAGTCCGGAAAATATACCTCTTGAGCATAGACTGTTCAATTAAGGCATTCTATACTTGCAGCAATTGTAATATGGATTGCTTTGCTGAGCATTTCGCAGGCATACACCCCGGATATCTGCTTCAAGAAGTCTTTCGGCTACAAGGTCGCCGATCCGAAAGACCCTAAATCATATTTCCAATGTCTTGGGCTCCTGGGCAAAGTGTGGAACCATTGCGATGACGGATATCGTTTCAGTGGACCGGAGCAAAAGTGTATGCTCGATAAGCAGCCAAAGGCAGTCGGAGATGGCTCCAGCGGTCCAGATAATGTTTTCAACATAAACCAAAATATTTCCATGTACAAGCCGATTATATTCAATATCTTTGGTTCACTGTGGAAACCATCAAAGCCAAGACCACCTTTGCCTGAACCTACAACAACGGAACCACCCATTACTACAGGTAATACTTGCTTGGACTATAATTAACATAGTTTTTATTCAAATTTGTATTTGCAGAATCCAGTACAGCATCTTCTTCTTCTTCGTTGGCTCCTGACAGCACCACAGAGAGCTCCTCGTCTTCGTCAACTTCAAGCTCTACCGAGAGCTCCTCGTCTTCATCAACGGCCAGCTCTACTGAGAGTTCCTCGTCTTCGTCAACGGAGAGCTCTACCGAGAGCTCCTCGTCTTCATCAACGGCCAGCTCTACCGAGAGTTCCTCGTCTTCGTCAACAGAGAGCTCTACCGAGAGCTCATCCTCTTCGAGTACGCCCTGCACTCTAACCACGGAGGCCAGCTAAGTCGACGACTGGTTTAATATCAATCAGAGCTGAGACTAGCATCGGCTCACAGGTTGCGCAGACTTTAAAAAGAGCTGTTAAAGGTTAATGAGAAAATTCAATTGCAATGGTGATTAAATATTAAGGGTGCATTCGGCTCCGAGTTCATCCCACTTGCCACTGTATAATTTATTTCCACTTTGCATTGGTAATTTCAGCAGGTTTCACATTTGTTTGCCATTCAGCCGGTGTTTTAGATAAAAACAGAAACAGAGAACAAAAACCAAAAACCCCCAAAAAAAATCGAATATTTTCGCATAAACAAGGCGACAAACGACAAAAGCCAACAACATGTACTGTAGGTAGGCTGCCAAGCACGTCTCTCCTGCTCCATATAAATATCAGCCGGGCTCTCATATTTCAATTTCGATTTTTAAAAACGATGTGCGAGGTAAACGCAAACAAACCCACGACAAAGCAGCAAAATAAACAGACAGCAAATACACAAAAGTGCGTTTATACTATATGGAGATATGCTCTTTATATGTGCTACATATATAAATTGCGATACCCTGTAAGCAGAGAAGACTGTGGCGAGGGTAGATAGAAGGCGATGAAATGAAAGTGTTGGATATTTGATCTAGTATATATACTTGAGCAGAGTAAAGTGTGGAGAGAGTGTATTGAAAGGAATATTATTAAGGGATATGAATATAAGAGGAACTTGTGGCTTTGGTAGAGTTAGTTGTAGTGAGGGTATAATCGAAGCATATTATGCCAAACTCTAAGTCTACATTGTAAATCATTTGTATTATATATTTCATAGGCTTGAGCTTTACATATTAGTATAGGGTATCTATGAATTCAGCAGTCATAGCATGAACGTTGCTAAACGCTTAGCGCGTATCTATGCATTGGACGTGGGTCTGTGTGTTTGGGTCCGGGGATCTGCTGCTGTTATGGACTGTGGCTGTCGTTCGCATAAATGCAACGAAACTTTTGCCCTTGCACATTTGATGCCAATTCCGATGCGTTGCAGTTGTTGTTGTTGTTGCTGTTGCTGCTGTTGCTGCTGCCGCCATGGAAAATGTCCAAAAATGAGGCACAAACATGCGCATGAATTTTGCAAAGCCAACAACAACAGTGGCAGCAGCAGCGGCAGCGGCAGCGGTAGCGGCTGTGGCAGTTGCACTAACAAGTTGCCACTGCCAGGAAATGTAGCGCAAATAAATGAGGCAGTTGGCAGTTGTCCCTGGACATGGACCCAGGCCTGTGGCTATGGCTGCAGCTGGGACATGGGACATGGGACATGTCCACCAATATTTTAGCCATTTGTAATTTTATACTTATTTTTGCGCAAGCGTTAACAGTTGACCGCAGCTCCTTTTCGGTGTGACCCCCGCGTCGGACAGCCGTTTGCATTTTAGATTTGGCCACATCGGAAATTCTATATTCTATATGCAGCATGTGCGTTTTGGCAGCAGGGTCAGCAGGCGACTTGCAGCTGTCGCTGCCCGGCGGCAGTGCCTTAATAAGTCAGTGCGAGACCCGCTCACCTTTTCGACTAATTGCTGGGCGATAGTTGGGCGCTACTTTCGCGCCTCGCGACTCTCGCCTCGTGCTCCACCTCGGGGCGCAGACGGGCGGCTATTTGCATAAACATGCAAACGTGGCTAATACGCCGGCTGCGACGAAGACGGCGGCGACGACGGCGACGGCCAACTTCCGTCTCAAGGCCAACTGTGAAATGAACTACAATAAAAATAACACAAAAACTGAACCAGCTCGAAACTACGAAAATTCAATTAGCAGTTGGCTAGAGCGCAACACGAAAAGGGCGTGGCTGCGGACGTAGAAAATCTAAGCTAAGCGGAGCACAAACTCCAAAAGACTGTCGAATTTAGTTTATGTGCTGCCTCTGAGTTATGCCAACCTCCTGCAGTCGAACTTGAATCAAACAGAACAACAACAACAAGATCTCGAAACGAAAAAAGAAAAATAACAGCTACTACCTACCGCATTTTGTGGCCAAAATGGTTGACGACGTCGCCAACGGCGGCGTCTCGCAAGTGGCGTTTTGTCAAATATTTGCAGCCTGCGCAGGTAATCGGCATTGGCAACGGGCAATGGGCAATCGGTCTGGCAGCCAGTTTTATCCCTGTTCCGCTCTTCACGACTTTTATTTAATGAATTTCGCAAATTTTTGTGGCAGCATCGCACGCATGCGAAAGGCGCGGAGTTCAGCGAGTTCTGCGACTGCCGCTGCGACTGCAACTTGTCTCCGCATACACGATGTGCAAATAATTGTCTCAATTCCACAAATGCCATGATCTGCAAAAAAGAGAGGAAAACAGACTGAATGAGTCGCCGTCGCCATTGGCCTGGAGCACCTGCGAGAGATTATCGCGCCGAATGCTTAGGAACCCAAAGCACATACTCTCCAGCCACTGCTTAGAGGGCATTATATGCCAAGCATTTGATCAGCAATGCCCAGATAGCGTATAATGTGAGAGAACATGAATAATACTAGCGCAAGCGAAGACAAAAGCTCCACTCAAATTATACTTATGAAAGTATTTAAATGGCAAATCCGTATATCCGTTTGTAAATCTCATTCCCCCTACTCTATCTCTCTCTCTCTCTCCCTCTCTCTCTTGAAGCAATTTACAGGTGTGGGAAGTCTAGCAATTGCCTCTGCATTGCCGAACTCTTTCACGATGTACGTAAATTGCCAATGCACGGCAGTTGGCGGCTTTTGGGCGCGTTCTGGCCAATGAATTGCCAAACGCTGATGACAATGAGCTTGGCCAACAGTTGCAGTTGGCCCTGAACGTCAGCAGGTAACAGCCACATTACCGAGCCGAATGGCCTTTTGTGCGCTCAAGTTCGAAAAGCCAAAAACAACAGAGCACAATGTCACACCGAAGCTGCAATACTCTTTACATTTACAAGCAATATGTGACCTGCTATATGTAGGTCAGAAGAAGAGGTTTCGATTAGCATAGAATAGCGTTGGAAGGTCTTTGATCCATAATATATCATATGCTGCTTACATTAGTTTTATTTCTGTTTCTCTACTAATATCGACTCATTAGTCTTTCTTTATTCTACACACACACTTCATGATCACCTCAAAAAACTCTCGAAAAGTGTATAGCAAGAGGAAGAAACAATCGTCAGTCAATTGCTAAACGATTTGGGGTATGCGCGACAGGTATGCCTATGAGCCTGAAGCTGTAGCTGTAGCTGAGGCTCGTTGGCTGCTTGAGTTTCAGTTCCTCAATTCTGGCTAAGAGCTGGCGACAATTTTGCAATTGTCTGCGCTAACAGCAGCAGCAACAACAACAACAACGACAACGATGGAGGTCGTCGCATTGCGCGCATAGCCGACAATGAAAAGCGCCGCCAATTGCAACTTGCATACAAAAATCTGTTTTGGCTCTTGATAATTGCCATTGAATGGAGCTCGTTTTGGGTATTTTAGCCATGGCCTGTCCGACTGCCGACTTGGCCGGAGGTTAGGCTCATTTAATTGTTGTCGCTACCGTTTCGAAACCACCTTGAACCTGACTCAATGCCAGAGACTTTTGGCCACTCGGCAGCAACCTGTGCGTGGGCAGCTTCAATTACGCGCTCTTGCTGCAGGCCCGCCCGCTGTGACGGCCGCGCCTCATGCTTCAGTGAGCTGGCAGTCGAAAAAAATACAGAAGATGGAAGAAGAAAACTAATTAATAAATTAATTATGCCATTACACCAATACACACACACACACACGCACGCAGCGACTAGGTGGAAACTCCCTGAGGTAAGAACTCACGCACTCTAATTATGAATATTTTCATGCTGATATATGCACACACTCAATGTTGTTGTTGTTGTTGTTGTTGTTGCTAGGGGAGTTGACTTAATTAGCCACCCAGTGAGGCAGTGCAGCACTTGTGCCGGCTCCGATATGTGCAGCAGGTTGCCCTCATGACATGAACTTTGGGCGAGTTGTATATATTCTCATTTTTTTTTGGCAGCTAATTAGTGAAATTTGAATACATAATTTCACACACACACACACGCATACACTCGCACACACATGCATATTTAATGTGCATGCAAAGTCTATGCATTTTAATGGAATTTCTTTACTTGGCCGCATGCATACATATGTATGTGTGTGTTTATATATGACTCGTTGCGATAGAGATTTGAATTTTATTTTCATGTTAACAGTTCTATTATCCTTGTGGCTGTATCTGCTGTCCAGCCGTTGACCAAGAGCCAAGCCGATGATAAATCGCGCCATTTACTCGTGTGCGCCCAGGTAAATATATCAGCTAGGCAAGGTCATAAATATTAATTGTGTTTTCGGGGCCCGGCAGTGCTGCGACTGGAGCTGGAGCTGGAGCTTGGGCTGGTGCTGGTGCTGGTGCTGGAGTTGAGTTCAGGAACTGGAACTGCCTTTAATTTTTTGCATGTCTCGCCTGTTATGTTTGCCTGTGGCTAGTATTTGTTGTTGTTGTTGTTGTTGGTTGTTGGCATTATCAATCGATCGAACGCGAGCTGCATTTACTTAGCGGCTAAGCCAAACTCCAGCTCGAATCAACAACAACAACAAAGACAACAACAACGACAACTTGGCATTATTGTTAATAAATATTCCAGATTGCAGTCTTACAACAATGTGTTCGACGAGCTAGTGCCAGATGATCAACAGATACCCTGTATGAATGGGAAAAGCTAGGATATATTTTTAATAGGCAACCATTGCCAAAATGAGCAAATGATAGTTTATTGAGCGCACTGATAGATTGGCCAATGCAACTTTAAGCCTTAAATAGCAGCGAAACAGAAGGGGGCAGCAGGAGAAGCAGCAGCAGCAGCAGCAGCAGCGGTAGCAGGAGTAGCAGCAGTTGGCCTGCAGTTCATAAGCGTGGCGCTGCTGTGATTAATATCCGAGGAATGCAGTTTATTGTTGTGCGACGCAGCAGCAGAGCGGCCGGCAGAGGCGTGGCCAAACGCGACACATGCAGCGGCCGAGAGGTGGCATATGTGAGGGGAAGCGGCAGAGGCAGAGAATTATACGCCTAACAGTGGGCCGCAACGCAAATTTGTGTGCATTATTTTTGGTTGCCGCTGAGCGCTTTTTGCTGGCCATTTTAGCTCAGTTATAAATTACAGCGGCCATGGGCTACGTGTGTGTGTGAGTGTGTGTGTGTGTGTGTGCTGCTTGCATAATCTGTGTGCTGAAATCTTTGGCATCCACTTGCGCATATGCAGAGGCCGAGCCAAGTGCGGCTCCAGTCGCTCAGCACCCATATGCAGCCTCAGCTCCAACTCCAGCTCCAGCTTCAGCTCCAACTCTCCGTCTCTCTAGAACAATAGCAGCCGGGCCGCGCACTCACAATGGAGCAGAGGAGCGTAGCTGGAACTGAATGGCCGCCACTCTCATAATAGAGTCATAAAATTTTAGTGCGCCGCTTGGCTAATCCCCCCCTCCAGCCCGTTCAGCCCCCTGTGGCGCCTGGGACAAGAGTATTCGCATCCACAAACACACACACACACACAAGTGCACACAAGTCCAAGTCCAAGTCCAAGTTCAAGCCAAAGTCGTTTCGCTTTGTTGGCCATTGTCCCGGCCATTTACTCGGACCATAGAAATATATAATTGTGATTAATTATACGACATAAAAATGTTTTAGATTCAACATTTTGATGCATTTATTAACCGAAAAATCACTTGAAATGAGCGGTTTTTAAACATTGTATTGCGCCCCCCGGGAACAACGCTCCAGGAGAGGAGAGGAGAGAAGAGGCGAGGAGAGAGAGCAGCCAGCGAACGAGAGGCCGAGAGGGAGGGGCACTTGTGAATGTTTGCTCGATGGTCGATGGCCTCTATGCTTAGCCAGCTTAGATCTATTATCAGTTGTAATAAAAGTTTGCTTTTCTGTTGATTTTCGTATGTTTGGGGCAAGCAGCTGCTGCTGAGCTGGCTTAGAGGCACACTTTGGCTCCATCAACATGAATAGTTTGAATGCTTTGAATTATTTTTAATAAAGCAACGTAAACAAGTAGTTGAGTAAATTATGATCGTATCGACTGCTGACTTTTGGTTGCTTTTGAGCACTCTGGAGTACTTAATTGAGTTCCTGCTCCATTCGACATAGTTGTTGCTCTTTGACTGGCGGCGACAAAGGCCCACTTGAAGGAGCACCAACAGCAGCAGCTTCGTTATCACACAACATGCCAGCACATGGGAATTGTTGGGCCGACTGCCAGCAGATGCCGCCTAAAACAATGAATGGGGACAGCAGCAGCCGCAACAATTCATCGACTGCAACTGCGCGTCTTTCGCTGTGTCTGCTGCAGCATTTCATGCCCATCAAATGCATTGACATTGAACAATTGCGCGTAATGTTGTCGTACACTTGACAAGCGCGCAAATTGTAGTGCTACCTGTGCCAGATACCTGCTACCAGCTACCAGGTAACTGCCGTCGCGCAGCCAAAGCGAAAGCTCGAATCTCGATCAGCAGCGGTTCGTCTAGCCATATGAAAGAGACAAACAAAAACGAATATCCCAGACGTACTACAACGAACTTTTAATGCTCTAACTGAGCTGAGATAGTCTGTTTAACAGAGCTGATTATTGATTGATATGCAATATATACATATTTGTCCAAGTACTCATCCATTTTGATGGTGCTCAATATCCAATAAGAATCCAATTTCTCCATCAACTCATTAGGCTCTGTGAAAGTGTATGAAATCAACAGAATTTGATGGAAATTGGCCAAGTTGTCTGTCTGTCTGTCTGTCTTGGCGCTGTCTGTCGAGCATGTTGCGCAGCCTAATGAAGCGACGACATTTGTGGCAACAACAACAACAGAAAACAGTAAACAGAAAACAGAACAGAGCCACGGACATGCCACAAACGAATGAGACATGTCAGCATCGGCCATTTGGCCATTTGCCAAATATGCAGCGACAACTGAACGCTAAATGCTATCCAGATTAATAAGCCCAGTGTGTGTGGGTGATGGCATCATCTGTTGAGCCTTGAAGTGACTGCGGGTCGAATAGATAGCAAAAGTCAAAAGTTATTTGGCCACGCTTCTGGGCGAATGCGAATATCGTTACGTGCCAAACTTGGCCAAGGCAATAATTTTCACAAGCCGTTCAAGATTTCCACTGCCAACTGCCAACTGTAAAATGCATTTTTGTACACCTTAAATGGTCCGAGGAAAAAGTTAGCTGAACGCACGATAAAAAAAAGTGCAGCAAATGCGGCTAAACTGCCAGAGCTGACTGCAGAGAGGCACCAATACAAGTACCTTTTATATCTATATGTGTATGTGTATGTATATATGCCTTTATATATGTATATCGTATGCATATCTATAAGAAACAGTTAGGGTGATTGCCAATATGCCGCACCGGCCACGGTCTCTGGCTCTAACAGTCCTTAATTCCATGTGCAATTGCAATGTTCTATTATAATATGTGATGAGGTGGGCGTGGCAATGCAGAATGTTTTTACTGCCATGCATAAATGCAATGCTAATAAGATATCATTTAACAATTAGAAATACAATTAGGCTCGCATTGCTAGACTCCTGCAGGCCGCTCTATATAAGAGCAATACCCAGTTGCCAACCTATCAATACAGTTTGAGCCATGACGACCTATAATATACCCCAGAAAGGCTGGAGACGTATTTATGCGCTATTCGTGGACGCTTGGATGGTGCTGCACGAGAAAACGCATCCGCAGCACACCTCGCTCTATTATAATCGGCTGCAGCTCATGTAGTATCGGTACTCCAAATGATCATTATCCGATTTCATTGTCCTCTCTCCGCAGGGTCATGGGCATCTATCCGAACAAGGAGCAGCGCCGCTCGCCCCTTCGCCACCTCTGGCATAGAATAGTCCTGCTGCAGACGAACCTCTTCCTGGTCACTCTGCTGTTTGCGCTGCCAGAGTCGGCCAATAATATAGTCGACTTTGGTCAGAATATTCTGTGGATCGTTTCGGTTAGCTATAATCTCGATCTGCCTAGTGGCCCAACCAACTCTGATCGCTTCCCATTCGCAGTGCTTCTACTTGTCAGTCAAATGGCACTACTTATACTTTCGGGCGGACGACGTTGATGAGATTATCAATGATCTGGATGAGTGCCATTGCCAGGCCGTGAGTGGTGCGACGGCGCCAATCATACGCCGCGAGCAGCGCAGGTTCTTTCTGATAGAGTCCTCACTGACACTGGGCTGGCATGTGTCCAATACGCTGTTCATTGTCCTGACGCTATCGCAGCCTCTGTGGACGGACCAGAAGCTGCCGTTCATTGCGGCTTATCCTTTCGAGTGGCACGATCCAGAAAAACATCCCATAGCTCATGCCGTCATATACATTTGGCAATCCTATTTCGTAGCCTACAACATGGCCTGTATCCTCTATTGCGACGTTCTATCGGCGCACTTGTTCGGCCAGCTGGCGATCAACTTGAAAATTCTGTGCATTGAACTGGACACCTTTGCCAGGCTGCATCAGGGAGATGAGGAAAAGTTTCGCAGCCAGCTCGGTGACCTGATTAAGCTTCATCAGAGAGCCATTAGGTAAGTGGGCAGCCCAGATTAGATATGTGTACGTATATCCAGATCAGCTCTGAATCGTTGCTGTGCCAATAGGAATGTGAATCGCGTCAACGAAGTGTTCTATGCGCCGCTCACAATGCAAATGCTAACCGAGTTTCTACTGATATCTCTGTCCGCGTTCGAGACTCTGGCCTCTAGACAAGACCTCCAAGTGGCCAGCAGATTCATTATATTTATGATTCTAACGTTTTTCCATTGCGCCTACTATTGCTATTTTGGCGACATGGTCACCGAGTACTCGAAGCAGGTGGCCCAATCCGCTTACGGCGCCTACGAATGGTCGCCAAACTCGAGGATCATACGACGTGATCTACTCTTCATGATTTGCCGAGCACAGCAGCCGCTGTCCCTGACCCCCAGCCCGTTTCCGCCCTTCAACTGGATCACTTTTATGAGCGTGAGTAGAGCTCGTTCCTATATACGTACATATACATCAATCTATGCGTTTCAGATATGTAAGCAGTGCTATAGTGTACTGACACTCTTGATGGAGAGCATGGATTAGGCGTACGCCAATGCAAGAACTCCACTGAATTAAATACCCAATAAAAATACCACTTACAAATCTCGAGTCCATTCGCCGTCTCTTAAGGTTAAGGTAATTTCTGCCTGGAAGCCTTAATCGCTGCCCATAAACCAATCCAAGCAACCCGACGACTCTCCCTCTCTCTCTGTCTCTTTCTCCCGGTCGGTGCGCCTGGGCAGCTGCTGGCACGGCAGCAATCGGGAGACGGTTCCGTTTGGTAGCCGCGCCACAAAACTATTTACGTTTACAAAATTATGTTGTACTCTGGCATTTTTATCAATAATTTCAGCTTGGCTGAAAGAAAGTCTCGCAACGAGGTTGCATTTTATGCATGCGACCCCGTAAGGTCGCCCCGGCTACGGGAACGTCAGCCGATCCAGCTGAAAGTCAGATCCAATAACTGTGCTCATAAATCGCAATTGTGTGGAACGTGGGGAGCTCAGTGGAGGCTGGTTAGCTGGCTAGCTGGTTTGGCTGCTCCGTCATTAGCTTGATTGAATCTTATTGTTGGCAATTAACCTTCCCAGCTAGGAGGCCAAACAGCAGCCGCAGCAGCAGCAACAACAACAACAACAGCAGCAGCAGTAATTCTGTGCTACATCCTGGCAATCAACCGTGGGTAATAACTTCATTTGTTGCGACGCGCATGACACATGACACAACATGTCATCTGCTTATGCCAAAACTAATTGCCAGCGACAACTCAGCCGCCGCAATTAATTAGCAAACGCTAAACGGAGGCCTAGGCAGCAGCCATAGCCAGTTCGCTGTTGTTGTTGCTGTTGCAGCTGCATTTGCATGCGCACGAAATGCAGAATCGTCGCAGCAGCAGCAGCAGCCGGAAAAACGGGCACAAAAACACAATCATGACGTGCCATGCCAAAAAAAAACAGAGAAAAATGGAAAAAAAAGTAAAAAGCTCGCATATTGTACACCAAATTTCACTTAGGCAGAAGGAGCGCCAGTCCCCGCCAGACATCGGACAGCGGACAGCGGACAACCGACGGCAGACGGCAGACAGAAAACAGTAAACGTTGGCCAAGTCGAACAGCAAACGATTTGTCAGAGCATAGCTCATTTGAGAGCTCACTTCCTACTTACGTTTGAATATTCGCATTCGCAATTGCATTTTGCCAGTGTTTACTTACTTAGCACAGTTGGCCAATCCCTCGCAGCTCCGCGCCCCAGCCACAGCAGGCACATCAGCCGCATTGCATGCAGATGCAGCGCCTTTGTCATGACATGACAGCAGCCTAATTCATCATTATGGCTACACGGCTGCAGTTGCGACTGCCTGCCTGGCTGTGGATCTGAATGAGACTTTTGTCGCGACTTTCGCTAGACGATTGCATGATGCATCCTCCTCCTCGTCCTCCTCCTTCTCCTGCCGCGCTTGCTGCCAGCCTAGTCTAAGCATCTGTGCAGCCGATCTCGTTAGACGACGTGCCCGTGCCCGTGCCCGTGCCTGTGCCTAGCCCGATTCCATGGCTTAGGGATTCATTCATGCGCAGTAGTTGGACTTTTCGCTTGCATGCAGCTGACAATGATGATAATAATGATGATGCATGTGGGGAGTAGCTGAGGTGGGCATTGTGGGGGCCATACAAAGTGCACTGTCGATAGCCTGATGATTTGCCTGTCGGCATCGGCATCGGCATCAGCAACAGCCCCAGCTCCAATCCCAGCAACAGCAACAGCAACAACAACAACACGACGTCGACGACGACATTATCGTCAGCTGGCAGTCAGAAGTCAAAGATGTCAGCTGAGAGACGTTGCTGCTCTCTGTACTTCTTATCCGACATTGTATCTTTGAGTGTGGGCTTGCCGAAAGCAATGGAAAGTTATTGAAAGCCTGTAGGCCTGTCAGTCCATTGCATCTAGCTTTCCCGAATATACATATATTGCAACAGCTCAATGGCTTCGACTTTGATGGAGCAATAAATCAAATCAATTGAGCTGAACTCTTTCAACTCTAAGCCGAACAGATCCAATTTTAATTGGCTTACAATGTGCATATAGACAATAACATGATTCCAGCTCTTGTTGAGAGTGATCTATAGGGTAGTGTGGATGGATTGAGTCCATTGTCTTACCAATTACCTTACCAGCTGGAAATGTACTGAAATGATATATGTTAAATAAAGTTCTTAGATTAGTAGCCCCCTCCTCTTTCAACCAATCGAAGTCTCTAACAACTTTCCATGTCCAATCTCTCTCTCTCTCTCTCTCTCTCTCTCTCTCTCTCTTCTCCATCATCAGCTTAGCCAAAAAGGTGTCAACTCTTTAGTCGAGTGAACTCTTTAGCCAGCCTAGCGTATGTAGCGCAAATGGCATGCACGACTTCATTATGAGGCAATGCAGCGAATGCATCATCAACGTCAGCTGGGAGCACTCTCATTGCTAGCACCCAATTCCTGGCTCGTGACATGGTGTCTAGGCCTTAACTAGGTTCGATTGCTGGCCAAAACTTCTGATTGGTAACTGTGCGAGCTTTCGGTTTTCGGGGCAGTGCTCATCAGGCGCGCTGGCAATGCACGAAAATGTGCCTCAAATTTGTTTGGCAACGGCAACGGCAAAGACAACGAACGGGCAGAGGTGGTTAGCAGCCCATGGAGCGTCCATTAAATTCCTGGCCGGTTCTCGCTAATGAAGTCATAAAACCGCATGACATTTTCGCTACCTCCACGCCAAGGAAAGCCCCACGGAAGGCAGATCTCACTTTTGGTCTGTCTCGAGTTGTATTGGGGCGCTGTCGTACATACAATTGTCTGGTCGAGAGGATTGCTGTCCAAGTCCGTTCGGCTCGATCGTTCCAATATGCAAATGGACCTCCGCCCGCTGCCACCCACAGACAGAGCGACGGCGACGTCAGCTAACAACGAGGAGTAGTAAGACGACGATCCATATGTCCATATGTTCGTATCGTCCCAGAGATCTCTCGCTTTCGATTGGCTTTACGACGTCGTGGCTTCGGAGACACAGACATGGCATGGGTTTTGCGGGGGGCTGTGCGGGGGGTAGTGCATTTGTCCAATCTGACTGCGCTTTATATTTCGGCTCAGCTTTATCTTGCCAACTGATTTTTTTTCCTCCTCTTTTTTTCTGTGCATTTCATTTCGTTCGCTTCGTGCTGCAAATATGCAAAAATTGCGGCACGGTGCGGGGTAGGGGACTGCACGTCCGTGGCACACGTTTCGAGGGCCTTTCGTGTCATAAATGGCATAAATATTCCAACTTGACCGGGCAACCTAAATATTTACTCCTTCAACTTCAACTGAGCAAAATTATAACAATGTACGATGCGAAACTTTCACTTTTTGGCTGTGCAGCGAACGGATCTTGAAATTGAAATTAAATCGTTTTTCATTTTAATGCCTTGCGAGGCGCTCGCCTTGGGCTTATGGCAGGTCCGAGTGCGGGCCGATAAACTGGGGTGACCCATCAAATGCAGAACAAAAGCCAGGCCTGTAGGAAATTAATTAATCAATGACTTATTCATGGGCTCAATTTGCTGAATTGTTTTTCCGTTTTTGTATTTTAAGCAAATAGTAAAAGGCAATTAAATATTTGTCTTTATTTCATTTATTTTATTTGAAATTTTATTTTATTTGTTTTATGATTTTTTTGTTGCGATTTTCTTTCTTTTTTTTCTATTTTTAATTTGCTGAATAATTTCTGCACAATTTATTGAAATGAATCGTTTTTTGTTTCGGATTTTGTGTTTACAATTTGTCCATTTGTCCAGATAATTAGTTAGGCTATATGTATGCTAAATTGGAACATTTCGAGTTGCATTTAGTAGTTGAATTGGCTCGCTTGCTATTTATGAAACTGGATGTCCGTCTGTCTGTCTGTCTGTCTGTCTGTTTTTGTCATCCCATTGTGGATGCTAGTTAACATTATAATTATTATAATTATTATTATGATTTTTATTGTTATGCAGTGAAAAGTGCATTTAATGAATAAATATTTAAAATACAATATTGCAGATGTGTTTTTTGTTTTTGTATTCATTTTGTTTCTAAAACTAATGCGAAATTGCATTTAAATTAAGCAAAAGATTAAATCGAATTATTACGAGTAATTTATCATTTGTTTTTTTCTTTTTTCATAGTTATAGGCTGTTTTTTTTATATAATTCTAAATAGTTTGTACATAGCAACAATTGGACTTAAATGACTAGTCTTTGGCTGTTGTTGTTGTTGTTGATATTGTATAAACAAAACAATAACTTGAACTTTAAAGAGGAATGTTCCGTTTGCCTTTTGCGTTAATACAATGCTCTACATAAATTATTTACTCTCAAGTTGAAGAAACTTTTCGCATTGAATTAATTGCTAATTGGAGCAAAAATTGCAGAATTGCAAAATAAGTACATATATCGTATATATATATTTATTTATTTACAGTGTATTTACATTGTTTGCTTGTTGTTTTAAGTACTTTTGTTGCTGTAGTTTAAGCTTATTTGATATGCATGACATGAATTTTGTATTAGGCTTTATTGAATGCAACTGCAAATGTTAAATGTTCCTGGGATTACTACAAATACTTTAAGAGATTATATTAGGATGGCAAAGCCTTGCTGGGCATTGCCTTTAGACATTTGGCTTTCATAAAGACATTAAATGCCCAAAAGTAAGGACGGCCCATATAAAATGCTGCCAATATTTGCAAAGCTTTCGTTTTTGAGCTTAGGTTTTATGTATATATGTATCTACTCTCTCTCTCTCTCTCTTTCTCACTCTGTCGTTCTTCGGTCTTTTGCTATGGCAATACATACACACACATCTATCTATATATAGTATATATAAACTATTTGCTTTTGTAATCACAAAACAAGAGGAATGAAGTGAAAAGCCACAAAGTTTTGTGCCATTTGCAGCCGAGAACAAGCCAGCAAACACAGTGCCATACAAGCAGAGATACCAGTTAACACACACACACACACAGACACACATGCATTGACAAAAGCT